ATCGATCGAATTTCCTGCATGATCATGTTAACCCAGAGGGCGTAAGCATCTTATACATTGGAAATGAAAACCTGTAATATCGATTAACTTCGACCGTCGCTCCAGCATCCCCTTAAGCCTTAAGCTATAAGAAATGGGCGAATCACAATCGCTTATTCTTCTCGGATTCGACTGTAATTGGTCAATTTCTTATGGCTTAAGGCTTAAAACACCTATTGTAGATCCGGACTTATGCATATGGTTATGTGGCTCTGCAAATTTGTGTGGAATGGCCTTTACGGTCTCTACTGTGATTGGTCAATTCACTTGCTACTTGCGTGTTACGGCCTTACGTTCTTGTATGTGTCATCAGTCATTGGCTTTACTGTAACTACTTGCAGCAGTAGAAAAAGACGTAACTGAGAAAGCGCACAGCGATATAGAAACAGATTTCGGTGTAGAAACCACCAAAAGAGTGTACGAATTGTTGATGGAAGTCGGTAACGCGAAGGTGGAAGTAATTGACGATAATTACAGGGTTACCCCGGATCTACAATAGAGTTTTAAGCCTTAAGCCATAAGAAATGGGCGAATCACAGTCGCTTATTCTTCTCGGATTCGACTGTAATTGGTCAGTTTCTTACAGCATAAGGCATAAAACACCTATTGTAGATCCAGACTTAAGGTGTGTCTCAAGGACCACACAGTTTTCGCGTACACTCTGCTACGTTTCACGTTTAGTGAAAAGTTAGAAATTAGGAAAATTATAAAGGATCTCATAAACTACGATATTATTAGAGAGAGTACGTCGCCGTACTGCGCACGAGTCGTTCCCGTGAGAAAAAAGGACGGTCGTATACGCCTCTGCGTTAACCTCCGACCGCTTAACGAGAGAGTGTTGAAACAACATTATCCTTTACCCATAATTGAGGATTGCATTGCTCTTTTAGGAAACAAGAAAGTTTTTACATTGCTTGATCTTTGTGACGGATTCCACCAGATACGAGTGGACGAAGATCACGCAAAGTATTTTTCTTTTGCGACACCCGACGGGCAGTATGAATATGTTCGTCTTCCTTTCGGTTTTTGTGAATCACCCGCTGAGTTTCAAAAGCGGATAGCGAACATATTAAAGCCATTTATCGTCAACAAGGTCATCGTGTACATCGATAATATAATGATAGCCTCAGAATCAGTCGATGAAAACTTAAAAACATTAAGAGAGGTCATGCTCATTTTGAAAAGTTACCGTTTTGAATTGAATTTAAGTAAATGCAAATTCCCCAAGCGAGAAATCGAATATTTGGGATATGTCGTTTCGCACAATAACATTTCGATTAGCTCACGTCACATAAAGGCGATGAAGAATTTTCCGCTCCCACGGAGTGTAATAGAAGTCCAGCGATTTTTGGGTTTAATGAATTATTTCCGGAAATTCATTAGTTTACAGTAAAATCGAAACTTTTACGCAATCTAACGAAAAAGACAGTACCTTTTAACTTTGACCGCGAATGTATAGAAGCATTTGGAAAATTAAAGCAAGAATTAATCTCTCGTTCGATTTTAGGCATTTATAATCCTCATGCTGAAACGCAGCTTCATACAGACGCAAGTCTAAACGGACTCGGCGCGATTACGTTTCAAAAACAGCAGTTTCAGGTACAATGAAACCGATAGCTTATTTTAGTTAAGCGTTAAACCAAGCGAAAAAGAACTTACCATAGCTTCGAATTAGAAATGCGCGCGATAGGACGGTCGACAGAGAGATTTCACATTTACCTCCACGGCATTTTCTTTACGGTGGTAACAGATTGCAATGCATTAGTACACGCTGTAAACAAAGCGAATTTAAACCCAAAAATTGCGCGTTGGACTTTAGCATTATAAAATTATAATTTTAAGTTGATACATCAAGCTGGCGATCGCATGGCTCACGTTAAGTCGTGCGATAAATTACGTGAACGTGTTGCCCCTCGAACGAGAGCTAGAGATCAGGTAATTGTGCGATCCTACGCTCAAAGTCATCGCGCATGATTTAGAAAGATAATATACAAAGATAATGTTAAGTTTGAATTAGTCGACGGTTTAGTCTACCGTAAAGACGACGGTCGATCTAGATTCGCAGTACCCGAATCAATGGTTACCAATATCATTAGAATATATCACGATGAAGCAGCTCATTGTGGAGTGGAGAAAACTCTCCAGGGTGTAGCAACCTCGTATTGGTTCCCAACGATGCGAAAAAAAAATCGTCGATTACATCGAGAATTGTATCACATGTACGAGGGTCGTCTGAAAAGTTTTGAGCCTCATCATGAAGATGGCGTTACTCGTCAAAGCCATTCTGGTATTATAATCGTGATACTTACGAAAGATATCTGTGACAATTGTGACCACTTTGGACGTTCAGTTCTTGTTTGACAATCATTTGTGGCATTTTGTAAAAATGGAAAAAATTGAATATAGTGTTATAATTAAATTCTTGCATTTGAAAGGCAATACGTCTACGCAAATTAAAGCCGAGTTGGACGCTGTTTACGGGGACTCTGCCCCATCATTTTCCACCGTGAAAAGATGGGTAGCTGAATTTAAACGTGGTCGTACAGCTTAGCTGATGATGAGCGTTCGGGACGCCAACAACTGCAACCACCACCGATAACATCGAAGAAATTCATCAAATGATAATGGACAACAGTCGAATTAAGATTAGGGAGATAGCAGAGGCTGTTGGCATATCAAAAGAATGCGTGTTTGTCATATATTGACTGAAGAATTAGGCATGCGTAAGTTAACCGCGCGTTGGGTGTCGCGCTTGCTCACTCTGGATCAAAAACGCATTCGAATGAACGTTTCTAAGGCCCAGGGGCTCTATCCTTGAAAAGAAACGTATACGAAAGTCTAGAAAAATACTATAGTATATGTAACGTATACTGTAGCATTTCCCTAGACTTTCGTATACGTTTCTTTTCAAGAATAGAGCCCCTGTTGGAGCGGTTTAAGCGAAACGAGTCGGATTTCTTGCGTCGATTAATAACGGTTGATAAAACTTGGTTCCACCACTTCATTCCTGAAACGAAAGAACAATCAAAACAGTGGACTGCGAAGGGTGAACCTGCTCCGAAGAAAGCGAAGACGGTTTTATCGGCGGGAAAGGTGATGGCGATTGTTTTTTGGGGATAGTCATGGAATTGTGTTGATCGACTATCTTGAAAAAGGTAAAACAATAACAGCGTACTACGCATCATTGCTTGACAATCTGAAGGCAGAAATTGAGAAAAAACGACCGCATTTGAAAAAGAAGAAAGTGCTGTTCCATCAAGATAACGCACCGTCTCACACTTCGGCGGTCGCTATGGCAAAAATTCGGGGTGATCCCGATTGATCACGGCTCGATTGGATACCACCAATCACAGCGACCGGTGTTTAGGAGCTTTGTAGTCTCAAGCGCTGTGAGTGGCTCGTGTCCAATTGAGCCGTGTCCAACTGGGTGCCACCCAATATCCTAATACATATTCACCGAAGTTTATCTGTAAAGAGATGTCACGCTCTGAGATTCTATATACATAGTTTATGGTTTTCTTATTATTCATACATTCTGTACGTACGAGTAATTTTGGTAGAGAAAGAAAGATCTACGCGTATTATCTTCCTTTCCATTAAATGAAAAAATTTTTTATAAAGACTTTGCAAAATGCATACGTTTTTGTAACTGTAAATACAATAGTTAAATACTGTAGTTCCTATTCCATATAAATTTTATTAATTAGCGTTTTGAACTAAAAATTTATAATATGCCATACTAACATTTCGTTCGCTTGTTCGTGATCAATATTACTTTGAATTTTTTGTACGTAGCATTTTAATTAATTGTGCAAGTTTTGTTTAACGCTTTAATGCTTTTAAGCTGCTTTATTTAAACACCTGTTTTATTTATTTTCTTTCCTTCATTCCTTTGGAAATGTAAAAAATTATCAAATAGTTATGATTCATACGTGACTTATTAGACAATTTTTTACATTTCCTCGTGATAGAAGAAACCACCGCCTTCCCGTGGTTTCCGTCGAGCAATAATATGAACATGAATATTGATTTATTATTCAAGAATGTTTATAAAAGATATGTAACACACCTGTTATTTATTAAGATTGCATGTGCAGTTGTGTATTGTTGAGCGATTTTGATTTGTAACATATTTAAATGAGTGAAAATGTGTGAACAGGGCCGGCGCGAGAAATTATGGCGCCCTGGGCAAGAGCTCCAAAAGTCGCCCCCCTCCCCTCCACCCTCTTGTGGCTTTCTCGATTGCGTTTGCTCTCTGCACTACCCAGGATCACGACGAGGACGTGGCAAACAAGATCCCATTTAACTTTTTTTTGTTTTTTTATGTTTTTAATTTTTTTTGCTTTTTTTAAATCATGTTTTTTTTTGTTTTTTTATTTTTTGTGAACTACTTTTTTTTCTAAAAGTTTTATGCATAATTAAAAAAAAACTGCTTTTTCAAATAAGATAGGTTTATATGAACTTTTTCCTTGCCTTCATGTCAGCGAATTCCTTCACTTTATTACTAATATCTACTTCGCTTATCAATTCATTTTCGATTGATAATAATGCCAATGAATTCAATCGTTCCTGAGTCATGGAGGATCGTAAATATGTTTTTATGAGTTTTAATTTACTGAAGTTCCCCACTAGCAACTGTTATAGGAATTGTCAATAAAATCCTCAATGCTATCCATACATTCGGTAGTGTATTTTCCAGATTATTTTTACGAATGAAATTTAATGTTTCCAGTGGAGTATTCACGTCTTTGGGAAATAAGGAACTTACCGACTGTAGTTCCACACATAACTCCTTACCGTTTATATCTTGGTCTATATCATCGCTTAACTGTGTTTCCAAATTTTGACACAATTTCTCCAACTCACTGACTATCGGCAAATCTTTTAATTTAAATAAAAACCCCCAAGTTTCTTCGAAAGATTTTAGCTGTTTAAATCGTTCGTTTAACGAAACATCTGCTTTATCCAATATTACATTAAAAACGCATATTTTAAAACGTTCATGTGGATCAGTCATTATCTCATCTGGTGTCTTGTACATAATTGCACGTTTTTTTCTTCGAACTCTTTTATCTACAAAAACAGCATCTACGTCAAGGTTTTCAGCTAGTTGTTTAGCATCTACTAATGTTCTTTCGAATCCAGAAACTCGATACTTTCGAATATAATTAATACACGAATCTAATAGTGTTACAGCAGAGTTTAAGTCCATATTAATAGATTGCATACTTTTGCTCACAATATTCACTTGATGTAAAATGTCGTACCAAATTACGAGAGTGACTATGAACTCGAAGTCACATATTTGTGTTGCTAATGTTTGAGCCTCATGTCTAATAGCAGCATCTGATGAAACATTTTCACTAAGTGTTATGAGAGCATCGTGAATCTCAACTATTTGGAAACGAAAAGATTTTAAAGAATTGATTCTGCTCTCCCAACGAGTAGTGCATAAGGGTTTCACTGTCAAGAATGGCAAACTATCTGTAAGAATTTTCCATCTCCCGACAGAGGCGGAAAATAAAGTGTAGACCCTTTGTATTATTCCAAAAAATGTCACACACTCAGTGCAAGAAATAGCACTGTCGCTTAAAACGAGATTCAGACTATGGCATCCACAAGGCATAAAAAAAGCTCGTGGATTCTCTTGAAGCATACGAGCTTGAACTCCTTTATTTTTGCCTTTCATGTTTGATCCATTGTCATATCCTTGTCCTCTACAATTTCTAATATCCAAATTACTTTTTTGTAAAATTTGTTGTGTAGTTTCATACAAAGATTGCCCAGTGGAGTCTTCAATCGGTACATAAGTAATGAAATGTTCTTTAATTGATATTTCTTTTGAAGAAACATCAACAAATCGCAAAGTAAACGATAATTGTTCGATGTGACTTATGTCTGGATGCAATCTAAAATTATATTGTAATATTTGGCCTGTTTGGCACGCTCTAATATAAGTGACTTAATTGAAGAAGCTAATAAAGAAATTAACTCATTTTGAATTTCATGACTGCAATAGTGGACGTGAGTTTCTTTACACACAATGCGTCTCAAATGTTCGTGAAGGGTCATATCATATTTTCCAAGTAATTCCACCAATCCTAAAAAATTTCCATTATTTGGTGTATACAATTTGTCGGAAGAGCCACGCAATGCTAAATTATTTCTCGTAATATAAAGAATAATATTACATAAGCGATCTAAAACAGTCTGCCAGTGGTCGCGCTCCTGTCTGATAACCTTTTGTAAATTTTCATCTATGCTGCAATGCGTGTTTAATTTTTGACTTATTTCGACCCAATTAATAAAATGTTTTAAATGTTCAGAAGAATTTACATGCGATCTTAAATTTTCATAAATGTGCTTCCAATCGTTACTTCCCGTAGTTGTCAAGAAAGATCTACTATTCGTATTAAATAGTTTGCAAGATATACAAAATACTTTATCGGCATTTTTTGAATAGTACATCCATGATCTCAAAAATGATTCTTTATTATGCATATTCCTGTAAAATAGATCAGCTGAAAAATGGCGCTTCTCAGAATTTAAAGGATATTTGTATTCCTTGTCTACTTCAGCTGTAAATTTCATACTAACAATATGATCTCGAATACTTTTAGATATAAAAGAAGGCCATGATTCGATATTTGTATAGTCAAATTTCAAGTCTTTCATTATTTCATCATTTTCATTATCATTCATGCCTTCCTTATTATCGAGCTTCATATTTATTTCTTTAACAGGTGATATTTGCTGTGACTGTTGCTCATCTTTCTGACAATGAGTGAAAATAATATCATTTTCGGCAGAAGAATTAGGGGAAATAGTCGCAGTATCTAAAAGATTTTCAACATTTTCTGTTGGATTTCGTGAAGTTGAAGCTTGAATTTCTGTATGCAGAAATCCTGCCAAAAATTTTGCAGAAGTTTTATTGCTTTTAACGCGTATTTTATTTCTTTTCCGATAAGCGGAGCCAGATAATTTTTTGAAAGGCATTGTTAAAAATAAAGGAGTAAAAATCTGTTTTGGGGCTGCTCATATATGTCCCAGCGGACCTGCGGACGCATCTTCTTTTTCAAGAGGTACGTTCCACTACCCGACTACCGCGCGTTATGAAGAGAACTACGCGTGCGCGTCGTCAGCGCGTGCTGAGAGGGGGGGGGGGGGGGAGGGGT